TATCTATCTAAAATGTTTGGTCTTTTTTATTGTATCTACGTTGATTATCACAAATATTTTGAAAAAAAAAATCATAATACAATGTAGAAAATTTGTTTCTTTAAAGAACACGGGACTCTACGGGAAATTTATGGATACACCCAAGTCTCCCTATAAGAATTTTTGGGCATATGTCAAACTCAATAACTCTTAGCACATACCAAGGAAAAAAACAAGTTAAACAATTTTATCTGTATATAGATGAGTTGTCTTGTCCTTTACGTGAACATTTTGGTAGTGGTATTATTATCACTAAGGACATTCCGGATATTTTCTAATTGATGTTTGCAGATGATGTAGCAGGGTGTGCCGAAACTGCAATTAAGTTCAACAGCAAATTTATATTTTTGACAACTTTTGTTGTGATACTTGGGTGGAAAAAATATGAACTAGACTCAAATACAGTTTTACGAAATGTTGGTCATATTTGTCGATATAAGCACTGGTCGTATCGTGTTAACCTATGAGTTTAAGTACATGGGTATCTTACTTACATCAAGTTTGTCAGACTCAACCGCTCATTTTAAGTTATTATCTCAGGCGCAAAAAGATCTTCTTGCCAAAAAGACCTATCAGAGATTTTTTGGTTTTATTGTTCTTATACATTTAAGATTTTTGATTCAATGGTCAAACCAATACTTTGTTGTGTATCGCAAATTTGGGGCTACGAATGTGTAGATAGAATATATTCATGATAAAGTTCGTAAAAGTATTCTATAAGTTTGTAGAATTACAATACATGTTTGGTTCTTGGTTATTCTTGTAGGTTGCCATATTATTTAAATTTGTGTTCGATACTGGTGTAATTTGTTAACCATGCCATCACATAGACATCCAAAGCAATGTTATCACATGTTAAAATCTCTAAATACTGCAAGGAAGCCAGATTAGAACACTTTTGTACGAATATGGATTCAGTTTCATATAGATTAGTTTAAATGTTGACGATGTCAATGCTTTTATTAGAATATTTAAACATAGATATGTTAGCTATTGTTTACTAGACTGACAAGAAGCTCTTGAAACCTCTTGAAAATGTGATCATTATAATAATTTTAAAAGCCTACTAACTGTTGAAACATATTTGACTATGCATATTCTGTTAAAATATAGAATTGCTATGTCACAGTTTCGCCTTTTAAATTAACGGCTGAATATTGCATTAGGAAGACATAATAATGTTGTAAAAGAAAATCGTATATGTAACGTTTGTCAATAGTTATATAATGCAAATGTAATTGATTGTGATCAACAATTTTAGAATATCTAAGTATGATCAGATCCAACCTGACCAAATGAAAATTGATAACATTGCTGATAAAATTAAAAGCAGATAAAAGTTTTCCCACAAAATAGTAAATATTATAGTACAACATACAAGGAAATAAACATTGGTTCGGATGTGGATGCATGTCAGCAAACAAGGTATATAACGAAGCAATACAAAAGAACAATACTTATCCCCCAGAAAATAATAAGTTGCATACAGCAATGCTAGTTAAATATATATGTCAACAATACATAAATTTATAAACAGGTTCAATAAAGACAACGATGATGAACTAAGAAATATGAATATACAACAACCAAGCGATTATTGGAGATTCATTAAATATTAAACAAGAGGGTCATGATGGCCCTGGGTCGCTCACCAGAAACAACTGTTTTTCAGTGTTATTTTTCAAAGAACTTGCTGAAAGACCAGTCCAGCTCAACTTTTACTTGCCCTTCTAATTTAAATTTTTGAAATATTTTGCCCTAATATTTTGGAGGCTTTGTTAGAAATATCTGTGTTGCAAGTGTGTTCCCATGAGACTATGTAGAATAAAATAATGCAGAATAAACAGGTCTAGGATTTCATTATATTTACGGGCAGTCTGTAAATTTTTGAACGAGCCATAATTTTACAGATTTTTGTATCTGTAAATTTACAGACATTAAGTAAGAAAATAGTAGAAGCTGCATTAAAATTCAAAACCACAGGTTAAAATTAATAAGGTTACATACTATATGATTAAATGTAACAGTATGGTGAGATTCAAAACAATATGACTTTCAATTTTCACTTTTATTAAATATTTCAAAATCATCATACAAAGATGAAACTCACCACATTACCTTTGTAAATATACACAATCAATAAAAAAAACTAGTCAGAAGCTGCGGATTTAAGTGTAAAATTAAAAACAGCAAATTTCACATTGAAGATAGATTTGTAAATTTATGGATTGAAAAATCTTTAAATTTCTAGACTATCCCTGGGATATAAGATAATGTCCCAGACTATCTATAAATTTACGGACAGTCCATAAATGTCATGAAATACTAGACCTTATAAATGACCGCTACAGCAGGGTTAATTTTGATGGAACATTTTTTCTTGATAACTTTTGTAAATGAATACACTAAATGTCGCATGCAAAATATGTAAGGTGTTTACAGTATGGGACAACAAACTTTTTATTTGAGGGCAAATATGTGCCCAATCGGTAAAATTATGGAGCTTTGGTAGCGTCTGTCAAGCGTAACACACTAGTTCCGATTTTCCGTCAACTCCCGTAACCAGTACCATACGGTACTAAAAAACTCTAAAGTTTGTGCATCCCGATGTGAATGATTTGTTTATTTCAGTAATACAAACTGTGCAAGTCATTTTAATAACCAAAAATTCCTTACGAAGTTACGAAAAAATCGCTTCGGAGCATTATCATTTTGCTTGGATTTCTCAGTTGTTTCAGCATTCGCCGATTGATTTGGTTGGGAAACCTCATTTGGTATAGGCGCAGAGTTGTTTACGGTAGATTCTGTCGCTCCATCAACGTTAACATTGTCTTTATTGAAAAATGAAGTCAATCTCGGCTGCTTTTTTTTCGAAGCAGACATTTGTGAATTTACCCGGATAATGACGTCACAATCTGAAGCGCCTGTGCGCTTTTAACATGTAATAATCACTAAAGCATCTAAGATAAACCATGTGACCCATCAGCTGATGAAATTCATGCTATTTATAAAAAATATATACTACGACGCTCGCAAAAATATGCGTCACGGAAAACACACGGCTATATTATTACCGCATCAAATGCAAAAGTACTGTGTCAAAAACACAGAAAACGCTCTCTAGAGAAAACACTGCATGAAGTGATGTAATTAAGTGAATATGAATGAAACCAAATAAAGCTTGATACTAAGTTCTTATATATCTTGTATAATGTGCTTAAGTTATTTCATAAAAGGTCATTACCTCAAATAACAGCAGGTCATTCACATCCAAACTCCTCACAGTGATTACCTCCCTTGGCAGAATTGTAATCACTGCCTTCAAAGACGTCACATGATGATGAAAGTCACATGACGTAACGTCGAAATCTAAATGTAAATATCGACCGTTACAAAGAAAATCTATCGTTATTTTTCTCTTTCTGTTTTATTTTTAACTTTTAGTGACTACGTTCGATATATTTTATCAAACAATTATCGAAAGAATAGAAAATAACGAAAAATAAATTCAAAAGCTAAAAAATATAAAATATCAAAATATCGTCTCGGTAGAAAATAATCTCATAATTTTTAAAATTATTTCTAAATAATAATATTATGTATTTGTTTATTCATAAACATTGTTAAATAAATGAGAGAAAACTTATCTGATAGATAAAGGCAGTAGATAAAACAATTTTTGAAAAAATATAGTATATCAGAAATTTTGATATATCGGGACCTTGGTGGCAGAGATCTACGCCGAAGAATTAAGGGGAGATTACTGTGTGGAGATTGATTCACATCCAGCATGAGTTGTTTCCCTTTCATTAAACTATAATTTTAAGAAATGCCATGGTCTGGGGTATCTTAGCTTTAGCAGTCCCTAAAAGGGGCCAATCAAATAAATATGAGCAATTTTGATAAGAGATTACTATAAGAATGCTAATAACAAAGTTTGGTGATCATCCATCAATAAGATCTGTAGAAAAAGCTGTCTAAAGGTTTATATCATTTTAGCTCCCTTGACCCCTAAATGGGGCCTATCAAATTAATATGAGCAAATTTGTTAAAATACTACCTAAGAATGCTACAGAAAAAGTTTGGTGATCATCCATCAATTGGTTCTGTAGAAGAAGATGTCTTAATGATTTTCTATTTTTCGGTCTAGAGACCCCTAAAAGGGGCCAATCAAATTTATATGAGCAAATTTTATAAAAGAGTACATAAGAATGCTACAGACAAAGTTTGGTGATCATTCATCAATTAGTTCTCTAGATATAGATGTTTAAAGTAATTTCTATTTTTAGCTTGAGCAGCCCTTAAAAGGGGCCAATCAAATTGATATGAGCAAATTTGATAAAAGACTACCCAAGAATGATACAGACAAAGTTTGGTGATCATCCATCCATTAGTTCTGTAGAAAAAGATGTCTAAAGTTTTTTTTCTATTTTTAGCCCTAGAGACCCCTAAAAGGGGCCAATCAAATAACTATGAGCAAACTTGATAAAAGACTACCCAAGAATGCTACAGACAAAGTTTGGTGATCATCCATCTATTAGTTCTGTAGAAGAAGATGTTTAAAGGTTTTTCTATTTTTAGCTCTGTTGACCCCTAAAAGGGGTCAATTGAAATGCCATGAGCAAATTCAAGTGTGACTGTCACAAGGATGCTACAGACCAAATTTGAAGTAAATCTGTCCAGCGGTTTCAGAGAAGAAGACGATTGTTGACGCATGACGACGGACGACGGACGCCGGAGTATCCCCCTTTGATACTAATAGCTAACCCTGAGCCTTCGGCTCTGGTGAGCTAAAATAAGCAAGAAGGCATATGCTAACCGGAAATAGATAATTGTATTGTTACTTTCAGAAGATAAACCATAGACCTGACCGAAGCACATGTGTCACTGATATAATTGAACTTATTGTTTTACAAAAGATAACAATATCCTCAACTAGAGAATCACTTCAAATGAGATTGAAAATGCATCTATTAAAGTAACAAAAACATGAATTGATCAAGTTCTAGATACTTATAAAAATATAATATTTTACTAGGGTTTAGAAGCTATTGCAAATTAAAAAAATAACCTGTCTATAAATATATTAATGGAAAATGCTTATTTAAGTGCTATATTACATCTAGACATTGCGATAGAAGCATATGGAATTATGGAATCCAATATTCATTTGCATATTGGTTAAAAAATTCATTATATGTATGAATTTTATATAATATGAAATAAATAGTTCGAGTATACCTCTGAGTAAAAAGAATATTCTATCAGTTTTACATAGTAGGATGGTACTTGTCCATTGGGCCGCGGACAGTTCCTCTAATAAAACTGCCTCCGTTTTTTGTCTCGGAGTTGAACTTATTTTCTTTATTGAATTTTTGTGTTTTTGTGAATTGTGTTTTTATTCTTAAAAAAATCATAAGGGATTAAACTGTTATTATGTTTTTAAACGCGACACGTAATTTCAAATTGTACATTGCTCTGTTCCTTATAATAAGTGTTTCAATAAGGTTTTACACAAACATTGTCGAGAACGGCGAAAACCATGCATATCAATCGGTACGGTCCAAACTTACGTTACAACAACCTTCAAAAGAAAGACATATATCAAGTTCGGATAGATCAATGGAAACAAAAAATATTTCAGACAAGACAAATATTTTTTTAAGAGGAGAGACGAACATGTCAGAGTTAACTGACATAAGATTAAATGACGGGAGTAAAGGGTTTAAATATGGAGCACAGTTTCAAAAATTTAATACTTCACGTATAGGAAACAGTAAAACAGAAGCTGATAATTGCACGAAGAAAGAAGTATTATTGTCTCAAACAAACTTGCCTATCACAGGTTTAGTCAGCTTTCCAGGATCTGGAAATACGTGGACCCGACATCTTATACAGCAAATGACAGGTACAAGTATTATATATACGAGGGGTGTTCAATATATTCGGAGATTAATGTCCTGATTTTTTTTTCATTTGTAAACCAATTTTAATTGAAATTATATCAGTTGTTAACAATAAACATTCAAATTGTACGAACATTTAAGACTGACGGCCATTTTCATAGCCATGGTACGGCGCCGGCGCCCCAGTCTAAATTTTAATAACGAACTGATTATTAAGCATGTAAACTTACTATATTTGTAATAAGATAAACCCATTAAAAATCTGGAAAAATAATGTATGACGTTATGACGACGTTACCTAAAAGAATTACGTCATTTCGACGTTGGCGTTGAAATAATCAATATTTTCGCTGTAAGAGCATCAACGAGGCAGTATTCAGGACGACACAAGATCACGTTTATGAAACACACCTAACGTCAATTAAAGAAGCGTTTGAATTTGATCGCTGTGTGTCGACAGTTAGGGAGTTGTCGGAAATTTCCGACTTTGTGTTGACACCGTACATAATATTCATTCAAAGGAGTTGAAGATACAAAAGGTAAAATTATATTTGTACCTAAATAATTTTTTGTATTGCAGGGAAACGAGTGAAATTGTAATAGACCGCTGGATGTTTAAAGGGTTTAAAAAGATAAAGTTACGTACCTTAATTACCGTTTTTTAGATTTTGATATTCTTATTTAATTTCTTGTTTATTTTAAATCTATTATTTACTTTTTCAATACAGTTATTTTATTCATTTACACTGGTATATTATGGCCAAAAAGTAAAAACGTCTTAAAATCACTAAAAGGGCATGAAATAAGTAGACAACCTGTTTGATTTGCTTGTAAAATTGAAATATAATTCACTTCTGAACACCAGCTATAATATTTTATAATGTTGAATATGATGCCAACTCTATGAAATATATTTCGATCTTATATGCAAAACAAACAAAGTCATAGAGGATATTTTTTTGATAGTGTGAAAGATGAAATTTATTTCATCGAGTGAGCTTTTCAAATAGTATTCTCCAGTGTCGTAACCTCGAGTGAGAATATTATTAAAGATCACGAGATGAAATAAAATTACATCTTACAAAACAAAAAACAAATTTTCTTCGTTATTTTATTGTTGAAAACTATTTTAAATGAAATTTACTCAATATAAACTTAAATGTTAGAATCTGTTTTCTCTACTCGTTGCCTCATTTTAAGTCGAATTTGTTATAAATACAAAAGGCCTTGAGCTGACAAATAAAAAAGTTCGACAATCAACGTTAAATGGCAATGATATTATTTAGTCTATTTCGAAAACATGAATTATTGCTTCTAGTAGAAGACAAAGTCACACCATCAGACCTTATTTACGTTTAGTACCGTAAAATACGGCAAATTTATATTAGAACAGGCTTTGAGTAATATAAGGGACCGCCAATTTTTTAAAGTTGTGTATTTTACGGGAGGAAAATAATTGTGTTTGATTCAGAGAGATGTCGTCATACATCTTTTTATAAGAAAGAAACTTACTGGGGATTGTTACAGACAATAAATAATTGTTGACAGATGCGGAAATATTGACAAAGAGTGGTACGAACATATTTAATATGTGGATTTATCGACATCAGAGAGGTACTGAATGTAACGGACGCTACTTTTAGAAGTTATGAGTGATGCACGAAACTTCAGAAATCGAAGTATCGTCCAGTGACGTCGGTGGCGTCCGGAAACACAAATGTGACCTGTCGGTTGGAATTGCCGCCAAATACAGACCCTTTGTTATACGCAATTGAAATTTCATGTACGATTGTATATAAAATTGCCGTTGAATTTGTTTTATAAATTAGTTTTGCCTGACAAAACGTTATAAGAAACGTCTACTACTAAATGTGCCCCCTCGTACATCTAAAAGTATTGCGATTTACTAATTGAAATTAGTGATTTTTTGTGAGACTCTGAATGAATCGAACAACATTTATTATTACAATCGCTGGAATAGCGACAACTTAAAAGTTCAATACATTTAAATCTCCGTTTTAATATTTCATTTATTATGAAACAAAGATAATATGCAGATGACTACATTTTTTAAGTTATTTAAGGCAAAGGTGATATTTAGTTATTAACTATCCTATATGGTGCATTGTTTCCAAGCTTAAGTTAGCGCATGTAATATCTAAATGTAGATATTTCCCCTGTTTTCTTTTTATGTATATTAAAGAACAATATGTCTCAGAAACGAATAAATGCTACCTCTTAAAAAAGGACAAACATGAGTTTTATAACGTAAGAACAGTGGGTTTAGTGCAAGTTCGATGGGAATCACACGTAAAATATATGACTAAATGTAGAATTATATGTCATAAAAAATGTAATTAAAGCAGTACTTGGACTTTCATAGACAATACGTCGTCACTTTAACTGAACTTATCTAAAATCAGGCAATTGACCATTGAGTCGCCTTTATAAAACTTTAACAGTACACCAAAATATGAAGAGCTTTTTGACATAAAAATAAAAACATTTCTGTGGCATAATGGGTCTTGTACATGTACAAAGGATATGCAACATCTATTGTTATAACACCCTTATCTTCTGATCACCAATTCTGTGAATTAATTTGAATAATTTGTTGTTATAAACTTCAAAACTATATATAACATATGAAAGAAATGGGATAAAAATGTCTAAAATTCTGATGCTTTAAGCCTTGAAAGCTACCCCTCAGCATACGTGATTACTGTCATTATTGAACATACGCTGAGATAACATTTCTTCGTGTATTAAAAACTCCGAAATAGCATATGGTAGCAAAATCAGGCCATTTACCTCGGCCGAATATCTTTTTAAAGATATTTCTTGTTAAAAATTAAACTTTATACTGGCTTTATACTGGCTAGCAACACTACAACATGCTATAACATGTTCTATATAACATTGCGCTATAAAATGGAATCCATCCAAATAAATTATATGCAATATATGGTGTTGCTTTTGTTTTCATTGATCTTAAAAATATCAATTTTCAAAGTTTGATAACTTATGCTGCTTTTTTTTTGTTCATCCAGTTCAGTGCTTAAACATCTATATTGATAAGATAGTGTAATAATGTTTACACTGAGCAGAATAAACATAATATAAATGTCACATGGCGCATTTGACTGACTGTATTTATTTAGGTAATGTGAAAGAGATTAAATCGATTTTTAAATTTTATTCAATACTAAAATGAGATTCTAAATCGTTCATTTAACTAGTTCAAATAGCTGTCGTAAATATAGACAGACAGCTTTAAAATATCTCCATGAGGAAAAAGACGGGAAGAAGAAAAACAAATATACAAAACTTAGGGAATTACATTACAGGTATTGGAACATCCAGTGTTTATTGTGATGGAAGTCTCAAAGTGCGAGGTTTTCCGCATGAATGTCAACATGACATGACCAAAACCGTTGTTGTTAAAACACACGAAACACGGCACTTTAATATGTTCACAAAGATAGTTTTGCTTCTAAGAAATCCGTATGATGCCCTTCTTTCTTTTGCAAACTTTAAAACGGCTGGACACACGGGTCATATACCGGAAAAGGTTTTGATTAAAGGTAAATAACATATCAAAACAAGCCTATTATGTATCCACATTTATATTCTATTAACTAGCATTTCCGAAATGGGTTCATTTGTGAATTTTGATTTTTTTTTTTACGTTGCGCTTTTATCCGCTTTTAATATCAATATTGACTATAGCATATATGTAACAAATCAGACTGCCCTGATCTAGTAAATGTTTACTAGCATGCGGCTTCAATTAAAGTAGTAAGGAGAAACAAATGTACATTACTATAAATATACATGTACATGTATGTCTATAAAATTTCCAAAAATATTGGTGTTGATCTTCCAGCAAGCAATAGATCGTTCGAACTCTGGTTGCGTAAGTATGTCAATCTGACAAGAAGCACAATAAAGGCATTTAAAGGACCAGTGCACGTTATTCAGTATGAAACACTTCAAACAAACATGTCACGTGAGCTGAAAAAACTTGCGTCCTTCTTCGATTTAAATATATCTGATAGAGATATCGAATGTACAGTCAAACTTCAGGAGGGAAATTTTCATCGTTTGACAAACGAAAAGCAACATGTAGAGCTTCTACGAGCCGTTTATTCAAAAGAAAAGCTATTACGACTACGTGAAGCAGCAAGGTATTCTGAAAAAATGTTAAAAGATGCATATAATATAGATATTGACCTAGGTGGCCACACCGAAAAAATTTTACTGCAAGGTTTCTAATGCATTTTATGTTGTCTTTGTCTTAAAGCTACAAGCCTAAAGAAAATTCTTCCTATATAATTGTATATGATGAAACTGATTCTAAATAAGTATTAAATGAAATTAAAGTAAGGAAAATGTCAATTTAGGCAATTCTAATTTTACAAATTGCAAAGAAAAAAATACAACTGAAATATATTGAGTTTATTTTTGTTTGGTAATAAATAAATATAAGAACTCAAATTTCAATGGATGCATTGAGTAAGAATGCAGAATAGCTGATATTTTGATAAGTCATGAATATCATGGCATAAATAGGCTGGTTCAAGCAGTTTTAAAAAAGTTTTCAGACTTTTTCATAAATAAATGGTAGGCCTAAAAATACATTTTATTGTAAATGTTATTGTATTCTGAAAAAGAAATTGGAAACTTGACAAATATTTAAATTAATTATCAAATTCAGAACTTGAAATAATAAAATGCCGTTAGAAACTTGAAATTGGTAATGGGTAACTTTAAACAGAGCAAAGTCAAAACATGGGCGACGAATTGTATTTATTATTAGAATGTAAACTCTTATAGAATTCCAAATATATTACAATTTGAAACCTGAACTTTATTATGTGATTTTTTTTATTATCGTCGCCAAATATTGACTCGAAAATTGTGCTAAATTTTGATAATTGTTTTTGAAATAACTCGTTTCATTTAGTGTAAATGTTGTTAATTCTCTTTCCTTGTAGAATGAAAATTGTAAGATGACATATGTGAGTTATATGCTATAAACCTCGCCTATTTGTTTTATTTATTTATTTTTGTTAAATTTATTTACGTCATATTTACAGTTATTGTGTATAATAAAAATCTTGAGATCTTGAAAACTCTTGAATCTTGTATTATTAGTTTCAATTAAGACTATGGTACAGTAGGGTGAACGTTTCAGTCTACACGCAAAACGCACGCTCTGGAAAAAACGCACGCACGTTACACGCCAAACGAACGAACGTTATACGCACGATATACGAAACGAAATACGCAGATGCACTCAAAACGATATACGCTAAACGAAATACGCTAAACGATATACGCACGCTAAAACGCACGCAAAATGAAAACGTTTCTAAACCTTCATTAAAATATCGTAATCATATTAAATTTTTAACAACTTTAGCTACATGTAGATCGTTTAGCGATTAATTTTGATTAAATGATAACTAAAAATGTATTTTAAACGAGTTTATGTTAGAGCTGAAATGCACTCAACCTAGCACCAAAATTATTTTTTGTCACAGCCTCAACAAATGATTTTTTTCAGAATATAAGCTATCATGCGCTAATATCGAAAGTAATATAATTAAACGTGTCCTTTTTATGCGCAATAGGATAAAGAACTATCCCTTGCATTCACTACGTAACCTCTACGTAATAGTCCAACATGGCCGACATGGATAAATGCATTGCAAATTATCATAAATATACAGTGCTAACAATTAAATTCAGAAATGTTTAACATTAAGGGAAAAGCTTCCAGAATCAGGAAGGATTTAATCGCTGGCACAATACGTAGATTTAAGTTGATGTCCTGTATGTTTCATTAGGACACCGCATGATTTACTGTGTTGTCGCCAGTAAAAGCTTCTCAAAACGAAAGTGAAAGTAGAAATAAACAATATTGAAATCCAGTGAAATCACAAGAGGTAAAATTTCTAGGGCATTACAATATATGAGTATATATAAATATTAAGAATGCACTTTTATTTTTGGTCTGAAACTGTGATCGAGAGGAAAAAATGAGGAAAATAAGGAAACCAGTCAACCTCATGCACCTCCATTAGTGCAAGATGCGGAGGAGTCAAGTGTGGGACTCCAAGACAGCGCGACAGAAAATATTTTTTCATATAACTTAAAATTGAAATTTATTGACATGCGCTTAATATGTATTAATATGCTATATTATTACTAAACAACATTAAAAGCCTAGTACCTTCCTTTTTATGTTACTGTCACAAGTTTAAAAATTATGCTGCCTTACCTAGACTTGCACCCCGGACCCTCAGAAACTATTCTGCAGCTCAACTAACTAAACTATCAGGCTGCTTACACATCACCTCCCTAAATAGTGGACAGTTTGGAGCCATGACATATATCCTTGCTTTATTGAGATTCCTCCTTGAATAGGTACAATGTGAATAGGACTTTTATACCATCGTTTTATACCATCACAGTCCCCTGTGGAATAGGTGATAGTATGAAACTCCAAGTAAATTTCACATTGTTGTTTTAAATGTTACAGAGGAGAACTCTATATAGTTTCTGATTACATCCAGTGGAGGAAAATACCCCTGTGGTATTATAATAATCTAAATGATTAATCCTTACATGCTATCCTAAAAAAACTCACTGGTGAGGAGGCAATTAATTGAGGGCACCTGCCTAGGTCCACACAAGTCTATGTAAACTCAACCCCATCCACCCTTATTCAAAAGCTGTCAAATTTAATACTGCTACAATGTATTATAAAATATAAAATCACATTACTAGACAATAATTAAATAGTTCACAATATTGACGTAAGACATATTCGTTAATAAATGCAGACGAGCAAATAATTAGCTGGAAATACTTATTAATCACAGAGTAAGAAAAATATGCAGCCTGACTCAGACTCAAAACAAAGTCCCTCAGAATATCATGCCTCACCTGCACTACCGTATGAACCCAGAACCCTTTAAATACTATACTGCAGCTTTACCGCATAAACATTTTTCTCTTAATATGCGATCCGCGTTATACATGAACATAGTCCCCCACTTTATTGAAATATCTCCTTAAATAATTGATGTACTGACATAGTGAGATGTCTGTTTAAACAGTCTTGGCCCTATGTTGGTCCCCGAAAGTAACTGTGCAGCCTGACTGAGGCTCAAACCTGGGAGGCTTGCACGGACACGTTGAATACCATTCCGAAGCTCTATCAACTGAGCTATAAGGTTTCTTCAATATCCCCTTCCCTAATCATTGAACAGTTAATACTGTGACATACCTGCCATATTGAACTCCACAATTTGTTCATGAGTATAGAGAATACGTCTCAGCTATATACCACCATGGCTCTACATTTTGCCCCGATATCAAACCCCGGACAATCACCCGTGGTGAAGTCAGTGATGGTCGGGTTGGACGGTGATGAAACCGTGTGTAGACGGGTCTCCAAGGGATCAACCAGGAATACACCGGGTTAGCATCAGCACTTACCCATATATAGCCGGTGTTATATTGGGTATTAAAAACAGAAATGCACATGGCCTGGGCTTTGTCGGAGATGTGTAAACGCAATTTGATTTTTCAGAAAAACGCCACGGAACACTCCGGTCAACGGTTTAAGACACCGTAGCAATACCGTGGCCATTACCGGGACAGTGTAAATGGAGCTTTAATGGCTTAATTTGACAGCCAAATTATAAGTTTAAACCAAGTCTGATGTGGCTTATATTTTTTCTATTATAGAGTAATGGGAATATTGTTAAGGTTGGCTAAGCCTGTATGTTGTGATAACATGTCTAACTTTGGGACAGATTTACTTAATATATTATTTATGTCATATTTATATTATGGAGGGACACTGGTGTCAATATTCAGGTTAAGAACAGAATCAATCCCACTACAGACTTGTGATAGAGTAGGTGCTGTTTCCTTGCACTCTTGAATAAGTTCACTATATTTTATTGTGGCTGAGTTGGTAATGGGACATTTCAGACAATAGACATTTCATACCAGACACATCAAACCAGATTTTGGGACACTTCGGAACAGTTTTCGGGACATCTCGAACCGGATATTTGGACACTTCGGCCCATACATTGGACACTTTGGATCAATCATGTAGACACTTTTAAACCCTTCTATGGGATGTATCGGACCAGTTAAAAATATCATTTTTTGTTATATTCATGTATATCATTATTTTTACGAAGACATTGAAAAACAACAAAGTGCTATGGGCGTCGGGCAAAAATACAACCAAATTACTTAGTCGTATTTTTGAGTTTTCGTCTTGCGCCTACCAAAGCAAAAGTACAACATGGCACAAATCAGCCACCGTAGAATTATGTACTATTTTATTTGTACAAAAATATAGAAATCGTACAATGTATAAGTTAAGTTTTAACTATACATGTATAAATAATGGAACTATCAATAAACGTCCCATCCCATTTCAGTTACAAAATATATATTATAATACTGGTAATATAATTGTAATTGTAAATTTTGTCAAAAGAATGTGTGCATGTATATTGTTTTTTTTCAATGCCTGTTAATTGAGAATTAATTTACCTGTTTTTTTAAAGCTATGTAACCGTATCTGTCATGGGTAAGAGGTGTTCACTTTTAAGCACATAAAAGGTGTAAGCGGCCGGACAGCTCAGTCGGTAGAGACGCGGTACGGTAAACTGAGTGTCACGAGTTTGGGTCCCTTTGACTGCCATATGGCCCAGAGTTTAATTCACATTGCTCTGTAACCCTGGGAAATTCAAGAAAGTATTTGCATATATAGCAGGGAAGTATACTTAAGGACAATGAAAACGCACGCCCGCATTATATGCATTTTATTACATGAAAACAAAACACTAACGACTCCATAAGATATATATCATAACTTTAATACAAAACGCAAACTTAACAACTGAAAATTATTCAAAATGTTAAAAATCAAATGTACACCAGTAAATCGAAGAACCTAAGGTGAAAATCCCAAAATCACACTTTTCATCACAGTAATGCAAACTTAACAATGGAGAAAAACAAAATGAAAATCCAAAACAAAGTGACTCATAAATGTATATTCGTAATGTCACCGTCGGGATCTTTAGAAAACGACAATGTACTCCATCAGCTTCTCTTAAAGATGTACATCGTCGCCTCATAGACCTTACGGTGTTGATATCGCGCCATTCGGCCTGTAATGTAGTGCGAAAACGCTGGTGAAGCTTAGAAATTGTGGTCTAGACCGATGGACACCAAAACGGTTAGAGCTTTGATTGAAAAGACTGAATCTGTCCTAAATCTACCCATCGGTTTCTCTTTGTAGAACCATTGCATACATTTTGCTACATGTAGCAAGCCTTCAGTAGTGTTTAAAATTTAGCACCTTTTATAAAGGAAAATTGTGTATATGCAATTTCCATGTGAGTTTTTACAATTTCTAAAACTGACCATTGGCATAGTTTAATATTCCTTTTTATAAAGATTTTAATTGCTCATTTGTGTTTAACATTTCTGAAAAGGTGTGAAAAAAACAAGTTAATAATTAACAGTTCAAAAAAAAATTCATTTCAAAAAGTAACCATGAATTGGTTCAATATGTTTTCTGTTGTGATCTTATCACAATTAGTCAAAAGTGTTACTTTTGATTTTTCGGGTACTGTCTTTATTATGCAATAACTTCATTAAAATGCAATCATTTTTCATAACGTTGGTATCTTAATGACCGGAATGCATTCAGTTTTATGAAACTGTGAAATTATATTTAAATGAAATATATTTTCCTTGTTAAAATGCAATTATCCCGACCGTGCGTTTTCATTGTCCTTAAGTATATTTAACAGTGTAGAATTGTTCAGTATTTAGGGGAATAAAGTGTAAGCGACCGAATACCTCAGCGGAAAGAGCCGCGGAATGGCAAATGTACATGTATTCCGAGTGTCGGGGCTTCGAGTCCCTTCCAGGCTGTTACATATCAATAAAAATATGTAAATAATAAAATGAAATATGAAAGATGGTAAGGAATTGTCTAAATTTAATATCACCCTAAATAGGATTTGGACAGTCTGTGTAAAAGTGTCAGAAGATGAACTGGTAAGGGGGCAGGGGGCGGACTAGTCTGATTACCATCATATAATGTCTGATGAACCTGATATCGGATATATTGGTACGCATATAGACACATGTTTGCTGAATTGAATATCAAACATGTTGCAATTAAATAGTGATTAAATCCTAAGCGTATGTAAAAAAGGATTTACATTAAACTTTGGCGTAAAGCACGTCGAAATCCGGTATCAACATGAGATCACAAACTTTTAAAAATGAAAATATCACAATTAATAATATTTCTCTATGTTATATTTTTATTCTTCGAAAGAGACACTGAACATCTTTAAGAAACCCGAAATTTACAAAACAGATCTGATTGAGATATTTTTTAAGATCTGAATAGTAACAGGCACAAAACACGGTACTTAAACGTTTAGACGAACGCAGACAAAATCGTCAATTCTGATAAAGGTTTTGCAGCTGTACATGAGTCTAATAGAATCAGTATTGTCCTGAACTATGTTTAATGACCTGATTATTTTACACCACCATTTTTAACATTTT